ATCATTATATTTATCAGTTTTGTCTCTTATTTCATAATAATCTTCATCACCCTCATCGTCCTCATTCTCAATCACAATAATGTGATGCCTAGATGAAGATTCATTTTCTTTGCCTTTAAATTGCTTTCGAATGTTGTAGCATTTGTCATAAACACCAATGGCCTTTGCAGCAATAGTTTATGTCAAATCTTCCTCCCCAACAATGAATATAAGAGTTGGATTTACTTGTTTGAAATATTTTGGATGGTCCAACGCTGAGAATATCATCTTCCATCACAACAAAGTCATATTCTTCGTCAATGATGACATTTGATGTGTCATTAATTTGCTCCTTCAAAACCTTTTTTCTCAATATGGAGCCATGTTTTTCATTCTTTACAGGCTTGGGACAATTATAGCAAGCTCTAGCATTTCTAAAACCTCCAATAAGGTGTTGTTTGTGGTGCGTAATTTCTCCTTTAGTTATTTTGCCACAAAATATACATGTCATAGTATTATTATTGGCTTCATTAGCCAATATTGCATATTTTAACGCTGGATCTTTTTTTGAAGATTCAATTAAATCTAACATTTTCTATGACCTATAAGCAAGCAAATTCAAAGTCCATCTCACGTGCATGAAGCCTTAAAATCGAATAAGTACACTATTGAACTAAATGATTTTGTTATTTGAGATTAATCAAAATAAAATAGAATAAAAAGCATATAAAATAAAATAGACATTTTAATGAAGCTCATGACTCAAGATTCTTCAAACTTTAAAAATGTTAATTTTAGTATCTTTAGTTGAAAATTATATCAAAATTGAATAGTAATTAGTGTTTGATAGATATTTGCATTAAAAATTTGTTTATTGTAGCAATATTCCAATTTTTCATGCACAACAATATTCAGGCAGGCATGTTTGAACAAGCATGTTCAAGATAATCTGAATATATAAAACAACTAAACATATTTGAATACAAGAATTTACAAGGGCATAAGTTATCAGTTGTCACATATTTGTGCTTTTCATTCATATCATTATGATAGAGGGTAGTATTGAGCAGTGAATTGTTAGACTATATTGTGAAGAGAGGCAGAATCAGTGTGGAATCCCGTGAAGGGAGGCGAAATTCATGTGGAATATATGAATCAAGCATTAGTGAGGGTTCGCAACTTCGAGTAGGCATGAGGTAGGCGGAATCCGTGCGGGCGTGAGGATTGTGGCTTCGGTTGTAAGGGATCGGGCGTGACTCAAGATTGGGGCGTGAGGTTTTTAGGTTTAGTAAATAAATAAATAACTAATAACAAAAAAATATTATTATATTATTTAGAAATTAAAATTATATAAATATTTAAAAAATAACTCATCTAATAAGCCTACTCTATACTCTTCTTTGTAAATTTCCCAACTATTAAAATTTATTTTCAATTATCTTTTCTTCAATAGAAGACACCTTAATTCCAATATAATCATTTTTAACATATATCCTTCCAAATTTAGCTACACATCCATATGAACATTCTCATTTCTATCATGCTCCTTAAATATCAATAATTTTTAAATATTGATGACTTTTTTTGTAGAAGACTTCAATCAATATAGCATTATAAGCCAAATTACAGTTTTAGAAATTTTAAAAGTTTCAATGATATCATCTTATAGCATAATACAACTGAGTCACTTCTCTCGTTAAACCAATCAATTCTAACTTCAGAAGCATCCTCATCTCTATCCATTTTCTATAAAATAGATTCAAGATACTTAAAAACTATCACACCTAAGTACCATTTTATCTTCTAATAATATTTATTAATAATTACTAATATAACCTCCATTAAAATTATACATCCTACATTCAATCTTTATTCAAATTATTCTAAAATCTTATATCTTCTAAATATTTTCTTAATTATTCTATTTTTTTCTCTTATTTCAATAAACATCTCAATAATTAGAACAATCTCATCTTTTATAAGTGATATATATATACAAAAAATGGCATAATCAACACAAATCTCCAGACAAAAATATGAATTGGAAACTGATGGAGTTAAATTCAAGACCATATGAACTCCAATTTCAACAAACTTATAATCAATCAAAACGTCTCAATAAGCCGAACCCACCAATACCAAAAGTGGTCCAATCCGAGCCTAAAGGAGCACAAATCAAGCATTTTAAACATTTTTTAAAATTGCACAATATGAGGCAAGCCTTGAGGCCCACCAAAGCTCAATTCCAGGAAAAAATGCCTCAAGGCTTAGGCTTGCGCCTAATGCCATCGCCGTAGCCACCAACATCATAGTAGCCATAGGGGATAACTAGAAAGCAACATGCCACCGCCATCTCCTCTTAAAATTTTGGAGTATTATATTTATGTTGATGACAAACATTTATGAAAGATGAAGATAACTGAAATAAATGAAGAAGCATACTGAGAGGCATTAGACCCTACAAGATGAGGTAGGGAAAAGACCAATTTGTTATGGCAGTGACTCAAATAAAAATCCCCTTAATAATTATAATACATATGATTTGAGTTTGTACCACATATTTAAACTTTCTTTAGGAATTAAACGTAGATGAGTAGGCAACTGAGAAAGAAAAAATTTAGAGTTGAACTTAATTATATATGATACTTTTATGCAATTCATATATTTTATATTATTTTGTTCCTGTAATATTTATATTTCAATTCTATTTCACATAATTTATCACTAAACACTTTACATCTTATATAATTTTTTGTTTCGTATATATGTAAATTTATTACTTCATAGTTTAATAGAAAGTTAATATATCATCCTTTAACATATTATTTGGATATTATATAAAAAATAATTTTTAACTTTTATTTTGACTTTACACAATTTTTAGATTTTGAGACTTATGCCTCAAAACACCTTGAGGCTTATGCCTCGCCTCACGAACAAAAAATGCCTCAATACCCAATCGCGCAATTTTAAAACTTGATTTGAAGCATAATTAGAAATTTCAAACTTTAATTGGATAACCAAATGATCTCCAAATTAGACATGTTTTATACTTATAGTCGAATCGAGTGGCTCTTACATTTTCCAGCTATCTTCGGTAACGAATGTCACTAACTATTGCCACCAACAACCACCATCGTTGTCTGCGATCACTGTCAATAATCGCTATCATTTTCAAACTCTTGTTGGATTTTAATTGTCCTCTTGTGGACACTATACTTCTATAATCCTTATAAAGGAAATCAAATCTTGTTATTGGGTGCTAACTATTCATCTGTGTATAATTTATTTCTATTCCCCTCCAAGGAAATTCATACATTTGTTTTCAAATAATCTCCTATTCTTTTGCATGTAAGGGAGAATTTTTTCATCACATGCTCTATAGGGAATTTTTTCAACTGGTTAGGCCCCGTGATTTTTTTCCTTTCCGGATTTTTAACATTAAAAAAAAAAAACTTCCAGTCTTAATACTAACTATGGGTGCTGAATTTTTATATAAAGTTGAGACATAAAACATACACTTTATCGACTCAAATTTTCTAGCACGTAACCATAAGCATACATCAATACATCTCACTTTTCGTATCTTTATAAACATTTTTATAACCAATGTAAAAGAATATGATCTCAATACAACTCCTTGATGTATACCGATTGTAACTGGAAAACTTTATGACAATCCACAACAGCTAGTAATACTATTATATTCTTCATCATACATATCTTTAATAAAACCAAAATAACTTTGAAATTTGCCTCAATGTGTGCCAAATTAATTCCCATGGTATCAATCAAATGATTTCTCAAGATCAATAAAAATTTACATAAAGTTCATTTCTTTGGTCTCTATACATCTAAATTAATTATCTTACCACAAAAATTATTTCCATAGAAGATCCTTTATACAAAACCAAGTTGGTTCTATGAAAGTGATATAATTTATCAAATCTATCTTGCATTATTCTCTATAGCACTATTTGTTTGGCATATAAACATATCTTTTTTTTCTATGTTAATACCAAAATACTTATTCAATTATTCAACATCCTCTTAATATTAAAAATATAAGACAAAGGTCATGCACATTTGAGGCGCCAAGGGTTGAGGTTATCTAGATATTATTATGACATTAATCTTTTTTTGGCTTTTTTACCCACATGGCAAGACAGAGTAGTTGTAGTGCTTCACGTACTTAGACCATTTAAGGTGAAAAGGCATTGTCACCTCACAGGAATGAAGAAATGTTTCAATATACTTATTGCTTGTGAAAGCAAAAAATGCAAAACATTTTCATATATATGAAGTGGCTAGAAATTGTAATTTATCACAGGCAGTGCACCTAAAAGTGGTCTGCGATGGACAATCCTAACATTTTGTGCATTTAGCAGAAAGTCTTCCTTTTTCAACTTAGTTTCCTAAGGTGTCAATAATAAAACAAAAGAAAAAAAAAATATTATAATTCATTATTGTATTTTTTTGCCTTATTTTCCTTATTTTCCTTTTTCTTTTCATCTAAAACAACTAGCTGCTCGTCAGCCATCAATAGAAAGTAAAAAGAAATTCTATTCAAACCAGACATCTCATGAGCAAACATCTATCTCGTTCATACAATCTAATCTCATAGAAGACCTCTAAAGGATTCCAGATTGCTCTTAACTTTACCATCTAGCTACTAGAAACAACAGCAAATAACTCGTAATCATGCCTTTCTCTTATGCGAGATTGATAGAAGTGTTTTTTGGCCATTGTAGCTTGTTATAAAGCCAATGGATTGAACAGCATATGATGTTTTGTTGGCTCGTCAGGATACCTAAAGGAAACGAGACAGCTAATAGGTAACCATAATATTTTTTTTAAGTAGAAGAGCGGGGGAAAGCAAACAAACAAAAAAAGAGATTTTTAGACAATGGAGGCAGTTTAACATCATAAAGTTTCCCTGCAACAATACAATGTAATAGCATGGGAAAATTCCACCAGTAATGTGCAAAGAAGGAAGAATAGAAAATTGGAACTACAGATACCTTGAACATACGGCCTAGCTGCTCAACACATTCCATTACTAGTTGTTGATGGCCCAAGACTTTCCGACTCTTCATAATTCTCACAATAGAAGCATCAATGGCATATCTTCGATCTTTGTCTACATCTTCAATCACCTTCTTTTTCTCATCCACCGGAGGGAGAGGTATCTGCAGTTTGAAAAATATGACCTCAAAAGTGATAAAAGAGGATGGATGATTAGTCATGCAATATATAAAATGCAAGTGAATGAAATAAACCTTAATCCTTCTCATTTTGTCAGTAAATTTGGAATTGAATTCGAAATAATCAGTTGGTGAGATGGCCTTGGTATTTGGCTCTTTATTAAGAATCTTGTACTTCGCGCAAGAAAGGGAGTGTAGTAATCTGACAACATCATCATCTGTCAAATTTAGTTGATTCATGATCTCAGAGTAACTAAATCTATCTGAAGCATTAAAAAGCAGCAGAGCAGAGGCCTGTGTATGGCAAAGTCATTCATTAGAAACCTATGGTTAAACAGTATCCAATTGATGAAAAAGAAACAAAGAAAGTTGCATGGAACCTGATAAGTTGTAACCACGAGCTCCATTGTTTTGGGTTCAAACTTCCCATTGATATTACAGGTACCAAGAGAATATATCCACGTAAGCTTTCGATGTTTAGTTTTTGTTTGATAGAACTCCTTGAAAACCTCTACACATTTAACCTTTGCAGCAAATACACACACCCAACTAGTTAGTACAGCATTATGAATTAAAATGTAATCCATCAATGCAGTAATGAATGGCGTTGATTGACAAACAGAATCGTGCATTAGCAGAAAGCTCATTTAGATTATCTAAATAATTAGATCACCCACATGTGCCACCCAAACCCCATTGTGAGTAGGCTGGAACATAAATTAAGAAATATTGAATCTAACATTGAGATAACGTACGGTATATTTAAAAGATAAGAGATGTAAGTAAAAGAGTAATTTAGATTGTCTTATATGAGCCGCCCAAACCCAACTGCAAATAGAAGCCAAAACAGAAAAAATTGTCTAACATTCAAAAATATATTATATGTTAATAGCTATAAGAAAGAAGAAAAAGAGTCATTACCATTTCAGCAGGGAGATTGAGATCAAATGATTTATAGCTGGGCCAAAATCCGGTTGTTAGAACAGTGACTGTAAGGTCAATTCCTGGATTTACTTGTGTATTATTGTTGAGATACTCTTCGAAGCTTGCTTGATTTTCTCTTGCCAATGTTAAGTCAGTGACCTGTACGAAAAATATAAATATAAACATAAGCACTAATCACCCCAAAACATTAAAAGAATGAATATAAGCTATATAACAGACCATGCCCTCCATCTTTGAGGTGAACTGCCCCCCACATTGCTGCTTCAGTTTTGTGAGGATACTCCTCTCATGATCATCATTAGCACTTTTGTCAAACAACAACCTCCGAGCAAGCTTTTTTCTAATAATATCAAAATAGCATTAAAAAATGTGCAACAAAGTTAATACAGTAAATACAGCTCAAGTGTGAATGAAAGAATACCGATAGAACTCAGCAAATAGGTCTTTATCACTAATATAAGCAAGCAACTTGACGACCTGCAAAAAAAAAAAAAATTTATTGCGATATAGTCCAAATAATGCAACTAGAATAGAAATGAAAAGATTATGTTGACAAAAACGAAAAAAAGGAAAACAAATGACCTTTTCAAGTGTCTCTTCAATAGCTTCATCACTCAGTCTCTCACTTCCACCCTTCTTGAGTATATTATCACAGAATGTAGCTAATAACTCGGCACTAGAACTGCCTGCAACACCCTTGTTGCAGAATACCTCAAAAGCCTCTTTCAGAGCCTGCAAAAATAGCTTGCATAAATATAATCGTACAAGTAATAACAAAAATTTATAAAACTAACCTTGTGGAAAAGGGAATGATTCTGAAAACAATCGTTGACATATGCCAGGTACTTGTCATGCAGCTCTATAACTTTTCTAACAAAAACCTACAAAGAGAAAGAGATCAGAAATAGCATATAAGTCAAAAATATGCTCAATTTTCCATATCGTTTCTGCTTGGGGCCCTACTTGCTCTTGCAAACCAACGATATCCTTCTTCTCTGCCTGTGGAACAGCAAGCCAAGTTAGAAGCACAGATTGAACTAAAGCAGTGCTTTGACTATAGCATGAACATACAGATAGGAAAAAAAAATCAGAATCAACACAGTGATTTCAAGCATTTTATCATTTAAACATCAGATTAATCATGAAAAAACTAACTCAATGTAGCTGAAGTAAAATGCACAGTACATTTGTTACATTAGCCCATTCATGTAAACCTACTTCCAAGTTAGTTAAAACTAGAGGAGATCCTTCAGTAAAACTTCCAATCCATCTCTACTACAAACTTAGGTGGATCCATAACTAACCACCAAATTCATGAATAAGTAGGTAGGGACTAGAAAATAATCGGATATCTACAGAGAAAAGCTCCAGAATAAATCACTGGTGTCAAAGCTTCAAACAGGATATTATCCAACTAGGAAATAGTATGATAGACGGCAAGATAAATATCTGCACAAAATCAGCAGGACAAGCAAAAGAACTTCAAGGTTGAAGGCACAAAAGGAGAAGAGAATCATAATTGATTTGATATTTAAAAATAGTTAATGTTAGGGAGTTTCCTATAAGCGACATTGATGAGGACATCAGAAGATCAACGGATACGATCGGGAGTTTATTTTATTTTTTATGTGTCTTATGTACTAGTTTATTTTTGCTTTTCTGTTTTCTCATTTTACCCCTACGGGTGGTCAGGTGGTGTTGTAGCCCGAAGAGCGTTTGTCTTTGTTTCTTTTCTTTTCATGAGGCCTATTTATAGGCTAGCTCTCTTTTATTTTGGGATGATGAATATTGAAATGAAATTTTAGTTCCTTTGCTTGATCTCTAAGTGAGTTCATGGGAGGAGAGACCCTAGGTGGGTGAAAGCAATACCCGTCAACCTTTGGAGGAGTCCAAGGTTCGAGGTTCTATAATCTCTTTGTGAGTTCTTGGTTCTTTATTTTAGTCTTCATCTTCCTCTTTCCTCCCGCCGGCAATCCACTCCCTTTCTTCTCAAACCGATGGCCTCAACCCCTCCCCGTGATGCCCTATTACCCGCCACCCCTTCACCTCCCTGCCGCCGGCCACCTTGACCCTCCCACCATTAATGATGATTTCCATCATCATTACCACTTACCAAAACTCACCCAAGTGATTTAGGAAGATAACTCATCAATTTGAAATTCAAATTTGAATTTCAAATAACTTCCTAAATTGACATATATTTGGAAAGTGACTTTATTTGAAATCAATTCTACATCATGAATTTTGAAATTCAAAAATTCAAATTTCCCTTGATTACTTTCCCTGAAATAACTCATGTCAATTAGGAAAGTTTCCTTTATTCAATCCAATTAAATATTTGAATTCAAATACTTTCCCTAATGATACAACCCAATTAGGAAGCCTCCCTAATTTAATCAAATCTGAAATTAAATCTCAGATTTGATTTCAATCAATAATTAAAATCAAGGGCCCACATAAATCGAACCTAGACAACTTCTCCTCCCTTCCTTTATGGCCGGCCCCCTCTTCCCCTCTTGTTTAATTATTTCCTTCCTTATTGAAGGCTTCAATTAGGGAAATAATTAAACACCCCTTGTCCCTTCCCTCCTCTCTTATTTGAATTTCAAAATTCAAATCCCTGACTTAGATAACTCTGAAATAAATCCAGATTTATTTCTTTTAATCCTTCCCTCCATCACAAGTTACATAATCTGAGACTAAACTCAGATTTTCTTTTTGGAAGGCTTTCCCGCAACACTAATCTTCCCAAACCGTGACCTAGAGAGGAGTTAACTGCCTTCACAACCCTGCTGTCCAGTTTCTGTTCATTCACGAAATGCTATCCAGAAGATTACAGCAAATTTCCTGGCTATCCCAAAGTCCAGAATTTCCTGTTTTGCTGTCCAAAATTTCTGGAGTGTCCAAACTGCTGCCAAGGCTCTCATAGCAGCTGTCCAGTCATCCCTGGCTGATGTCCAGAAGAATTCCAGCAGCAGCAACAGCAGTTCTGTTGCTCCAAAGTCCTCCAGCTGCTGCCCCAATTCGCCGAACAGGATCCAGGGTGCTGTCCAGAGGAAATTCCGTCAAAGGAGGCAACCGTCCTGATCGGAAAAACCTTTTAGTTGCTGCCCCAAAGCCCCCAAACCTAGGATTCGGTGAACTCTTTCCCTCACTCTTTTATTTTCCGAGTTACTTTCAATTGTGGAATTAATTGATTCACTGAGATCGTGTTAGTCCTCCGCTAAAGCCTAGTAAATTATAGAGTTGTGTGAGGGATCCTTCATAGTATTAATCTCATTGTCAATCTAGGGATTTCTTGTTGAAACTTTCCATGTATGCAATGTTCGACTAATTGATTGTTTTACGGTCTTAACGCCTACACATGTGATTTAGCCTAAAGCTTATGTCACTGCTCTTTGTGTTTTTTATGTTGTCGTTCGAAATCACTATAATTATTGTGCTCTAAATATTAAGCGTGCAAATTCCTTAAGTAACTCATATTCGCATGTATGTTTTACATCAGACATGCTACATAGCCTAAATATAATGAAAAGTGTGCAAGGGAAGATGCACAATGCCCAGGTGCAGTGTTAAATAAGCAAGGGTTCTCACATCATGGATACATGTGAGCAAAGAAGCTAGTACATGAAATTAAGAGTAGAATAGGAACTTGAAATAAAGGTATTCTTATAGGAAAATTAATAGAATAAATATATATTAAAGGTATTCGCCACGTGGCCTTTCATCTCCTCCTCCGACCTTCTCCGATCAGGACCTGCACTATCTCACATATCTGAAAAGAGCAGTCTTTCCCGCATCTCCATCACTTCGTCGTCCGAGCTCATCCGCTAGCCCTTCGATGGAAACTTTTTTTTCTTGCTCCCTCTTTACTGATTCGGGAAAAGTGATTCGATGATGAGGGATGAAAGGGAGAAGAAGGAAATGGATAAAACCATAGAGGAGGGAGAAGTGATTTATTTTAGGTTAAAAATTGAACGGTTATTTTCTACAGTACGAAAGAGCCAGGTTTCCAGTGGTTAGTAGCGACGCAGACGATGGAAGCTGGTGACGACGGATGACAGATGCAAACGCAAGCAACGACGCGTGAGCAACGACGGATGCGGGCACACGAGCTCAAGCTTGAACCGCCGCTCAAGAGCTCGACGAGCTTTTTTTTCTCTGTTGAGTCGAGCTCGAGCTCGACTCGAGTTCGAGCTCGGCATTGACAGACGAACTCGGCTCGAACAGCCCTTAACTCGAGCTCAACTCGACTCGTTTGCACCCCTATTCATAACTATGCACATCACCTTGTTGTAAACTAGATATTAAAAACACGAGAAACACTGATCGCCTTCAAGTAGAACAAAACGAACTCCTAAATCTTCTTACTCTAATCTTACAGCATGACGTACAAGCAACAATAGGTTCAAGACCGTCATAGAAATTATTATGGTATTCATAAATATGCACATCACCTTGTTGTACAATAGAGATTACAAAGATGAGAAACATTACCCGTCTGGAAGTAAAACAAAAAAGAATTCCCAAATCTTCTTACTCTAATCTTACAGCATGACAATGCAGGCAACAAAGGTCAAGACCGTCATACTGACTATTATGGGTATTCATAAATATGCTCATCACCTTGTTGTACAATAGAAATTACAAATATGAGAAACATCAATCACCTAGAAGTAGAACAAAAAAAAACTCCCAAATCTTCTGATTGGAAGTGGATGCAGAAATTTCACAAACCCTTGGCTGAAATTCAAGTTCAGTGAAACAAGAAAACAAACAAGGAAGAACACACAAGAACACTTTTTATTGAAAGATTTATGAAGAAAATAGCAAGATATAATTGGATCTTCGGAGAATCCCGCTCTCCCAAATCCCTGGTTGTTGGCTAAAGCCCTCTCCTAGCCGCCCCCCTTTCCTGTTTCAATTATCCCTCCGGGCCCCACACCAAGAAGGGCTGGATTCAACCAGGCAAAACTTTTGCCTGGCTTAAGCCCTGGCCAGTCTCTTATGCCAAGCCGGTCTAGGAGGGACTGGCCCATCTTTAACCGGTCCAGTAGAAAGTGGTCCATCAATACGCCATTCCCAAAGACCCACCTTGTCCTCAACGTGGAAAGACGGAAACTGCTTAATCAACATCTTGTCTGTTGTTACTTCAACAAAGCAACGATCCTTAAGAACCTTGATAACATTAAAATTTTGATCATAGATTTTTCTTTCTGCAACAAACAAGAGTTTCATAACAATCCTCATATATTGAATCCAGTTTCCAATTTTGGATTCTAGAACCTCCCATAGCATCTTTTGTATATCCTCTTTGCTGAGCTTGTCCACTCCTTCACCCTAAATTGCCCTCACCATGATTTTGTTGGACAGGTTAGGATCTCCTCTAATAATCACTTTCCTCCCCACAACCTTGAACTCCACCATTAATGCCTTCCAATCAATATTGATGTTTCCCAACTTCTACAACCATTTTATACACAAGATCACATTAGTGCTTCTTAACTCTAATCGAAGGTAATCCTCCCTTACCGGCACCTCCAGTAGTGTTAGGAGCAACACCCTATAGATGCCACTACTCCTCTCCATCTTCCCCGTCCCCATCATCACCCCATAACATCTCATGTTTACTAGCTTTAACCCCGACTCATCCACCACCTGACTGAAAAAGAAATTGTGGGTAGCCCAACTATCTATCAACACTTACATGACATCTCCCTCTATAATCCCCCTTACCTTCATGGTGTGGTTTGGAGTTAACCCTACCATTAAGTTCAGTGAAACCTCAGCTACGTCCATGTGTAAATGCTCCTCTTCCTCCACCCTCTCTTCCCCTTCACCCTCCCCTTCAGCTTCCTCGTCATCACAAACATTGAGAATCTGAAGGTTCTAGTCCTTACACCTATGCCCCGGTATATACCTCTCATCACATCTGAAACACAGCCCCTTTGCCTCTTCTCCTATAACTCGGTCTCAGTGAGCTTCTTAAAGTTTCCCCCAGGTTTCCCTTTTAAAGTATTCTCATCCAGGATCTCCCTAAGAATACCGGATGTTGGCTCCTTTGATGCTAAAAAGGTGGTAGTCATCTTGTACGAATCTCCCAAGTTACTGCCTCTAGCCCCTCTCTCTAGGTACTTATGATCATCCACTAACAAGGCTAGCTCCATAGCCTCTCCTAAATCATGAGGCCTCATCACTCTAACTGCCGCACAAATCTCTAGTTTGAACCCTTTTATAAAGTTCCCCTCCAATACAGTCTCTGAAAATTGATCTAGTCAGCACACTACCCCACCCCCCCCCCTATTTGAATTATTCCCTCGAGCCCCACCCCAAGAGGGGCAAAATTCAACCAGGCGGAACTTCCACCTGGCGTAAGCCCTGGTCAGTCTAGTAGGAGGGACCGGTCCATCATCTCTTACTCTAATCTTACAGCATGATAATGCAAGCAACAAAAGGTTCAAGACCATTGAGTAGCCATAAAAGGACGGTGCAATTAGATGCCTGCAATTTATGAAACTTAATGTTGTCTAGGAAGATGCATCAAGACTAAAAATTCTCATGAAAATCAATAGCAAAGAAAAAAAAAACTCATGATTGGAGGAGATAATTGGCCCTATTAAATTTGATAGCAGTATGAATGGAAGAGAATTTTATCACAGTGAAAGGAGAAATAGAAACAATGATATCATAAGGTAAGAGATTCAACGAGAAACTCAAATCATGGATATGAAAATTTCAAGCCTACATAACCCATTTGGTAATGGTGGACCATAAAATGTACGCATTAGTGTTAGCTAGGGCATGCAGCAATGGTCTGACAACAAACACAAATAATTGCCTGCATATGACAAACAAAAAAGACGAGCACATATACGAATGACACCATACAAGCGCAAAATGGCGAGCAAACAAAAACAATAATATCATGCATGCATAAGCAAGATGGTGGAGTGAGAGCCTAAGTGCGACAGCAGCATCAGAGTGCAAGCATGGCAACGATGTGCAAGCATGATCAAGGCAACAACATGCAAGAGCAAGCACGACAGCAACATTTGAATACAAGCAGGATCATGAGTGAATGCGGACTATGGCATAGAATAGAGGGGAGGGCGGGTGTAGCGGTAATGATTAGGACTTACACTTGCTCTGATACACCATGTTGAGAGGAAATATTTTAATGCTATTATGACTTGGAATAAGTACTTATAAATAGACAAATATAAGGAATATAATAAATAAATATATAAGTAAGAGGATATTCGTAATTATGATGATATTAAAAACATATTGTCTCAATAAACTATTATCCAAAATATGACCTTTCCCCAATGTTACTTTCTTAAAATACTAATAATATATAAACACGACACAACTGGTAATAAAAGAAGTAACAGTAACAAATGAGAAAATAAAAATAAATTCAGCTGTCATCCAGTTATGCAGGCAAAATTAGCTTTTCAACTGCACAAGCTGAAACTGACAACCAACCATGCCAAAGTTGGGATGTTGTCAGAAGATATCCATATTAGGGAAACATGCACAAAAATCATACCTTCTTGTTACTTGCAGCATCTTCTGCTTGTTTGACTAATGCTGTACCTTCAGCAGTGACATGCTGCAGCAAACAAAAAGTTAAAAAAGCTTGGCAAGAGTTTTCTACAATGTGCTAGAAAATGAGGTACGTTGAACACACTTGTTTAAAAATTTGCGAGACAGGATCAAGACCACGCGGAATTCTGCAGAAAAGCCTACACATCCTTGAAAGGTCGTCCACCTATAGCATAAAGTTAAAAATTAACAAGTGCAAGGCTCAAATGTTTCAGTTCAAGGACTGAGATCACCAGAATATTCCTCCCAATTACCTTGTCATCTCGAAGTAAAGCATGGCATCCAGAATGCTCCTTCTCAAGGAGTTGAGTTGCATTTACTGATAACAGCTCATGTTGCACTTTCTATCAAATTTTTAACACACAAGGATTTTAATCATCAGCACGTTAAATGAAAAAGAAAATTTCAATTGAATCAGAATCAGTTCAAAGCATCCTAATCCGTATGAGTTCAAAATACTGAATATATCATCCAAGAAAGGTTGTGCATTCATGACATTCTTGGTGGCTATGGCTACTCATACAAAAGCAGGCTGTTCAAACTGACGTTTATGCAAGACAGAAATGTGCCTTCTTCTCTTAGCCTCTTACTTGACAAGAAAACAAAAAATTATAGAACCGTTCAAACCTTCATACATCACTTCGAAGTAAAATACTGTGTACCATCCAAGAAAGATTGGGAACCCATGACATCCTTGGTGGCAAGGTTACTCATACAAGAGTATATTTCTCCACTACAGTGATTTATGAAGATAGATTCTGAAGAGTAAGTGTGTCTAGTGAATTAAACATGAATGGGTGATTCAGATCGCCACATAATGCACTCAGTAGAATGAGCAAAATTAAATTTACTTTCACTTGCTACACAAAGAAAGAGCACTCTTCAGAAACTTTATATACATCAAATTTAAAGACACCATACAACAGATGGCAAACAACCACATACCTCCAGAAGCTTTGGTTCACTGCTAGAATGCAAGTAATGTGAAACCCTATCTTTCTCCCTTTTTAAACACTCCTCAGCCTAACAAAACCCAAAAATATGTTAAAAACCCAAAGCTTATGTAGTAAGAGGAAATGTATTTCCAAGCATTAGAAATCAATGCAGATACCTTTAACATGTAATCTGGACAAGAATCCTCCAAAATCCAATTAGAGGCTTTTCGTGAGTAATAAGCTGCAGTATCCTCAAGCATTGCAGCTTCAAAGTCATTTTCATAGCACTCCATGCTCAACAGCCCAATCTCAACAAAAATATCCAGGACATTTTTCAGTAAAGCTCTATCAATTTGCTCTCCTTCACGTTCTTGGTCAATCTGTTTCCATAAGAAGAATTTGCTAAATCTTTTTGGATGTGTGCGTACAACAAAAAATTTAGTGAAATACTTCACTTACCAAAGAGATTACAGCATCCCTAACTTTAACTTTTATCTCATTATAAACCTGCATAGACCAATGCAAATTTAAAAATACTAAGAAGGAAAACTAGTTCAATAAATCAATAGATAATAAAATCCTACATAACAAAGATCTGATATCATATTCAAGACAACTTAGATATATAATAAAGATAATAATTATCAATTCAAACTTCCAGTTAAACAGCTATAAATCCAAGAACGTGGGTGTACCAAATCACGAAAGCAAGTGAGCCCAACTTCATTAAGTGCAGGAAGCGACCTCCGAGCAATGAAATATCGATCAAGATAATTAAAAAATCGCGACAGCCATCTGACCATTATCTTGTGATTCAACCATCTTTTCACAAGTTCTCTCAACATAAATTCATCATGCTTCTCCCTCAGAGAAGGCAAAACCTAAGTAAAAGAGAAGATATTATAAATGGTAGCTAATGCATTAGCATTATAATCAAAAGAAAACCATACAAAAAAGAAAAAGAAGCTTGTTAGCATAAAATTGCATCCTTCGCATATCGATCAATAATGAATAATACACAATTACACTGATTAAAAAAAAGAAAAATAATACTGCAGCAATTCGATTCAACCAAATCTGTCGTGTTGCTAATCCATAAAATGATGGATAACTTCTTCATTGCCAAGCAAATCCGGTGTGTACCTGCACACACCCACACCCCTTCAAACTGGCATGCACGACACCCCATTTCTCCCTCAGCTGCCCTCTCTCGTTCACACTTGACCTCTCCCCTATGCTCTGTCTCCTCTCTCCCGTCTTGGCCTTCCACAAGCACCAACTCCTTAGCAGGCCCAAACCCAAGTCTTAGCCGCTGCCTGTTCTGCCTCCTTAATCCCAATGCCACAGCCGACTTGCCACACCGCCATCCCAATCATGGCTGCTAGCATGCTCCTCCCTCTTCTCCCCCATATCTCAAATGCTCTCTCTCTCTCTCTCTCTCTCTCTGATTCACTCCCTCTTCCTCTTCCTCTGTATCTCCATCTCTCCTCCTCCCTCTCTACCTCTCTATTCTTTCTCTTTCAACCCCTCTTCCGCTCTTTCACTTACTCTCTTTCTCTCTACCTCTAATCCCAACTCTTTTGCTCCCTCTTCATCTATCTCTTTCTCTCACTCTCTCTCCCATTTCTCTCTCTAAAAAGAAAGGCAAAAAACGAAAGGCAAAAAGTAATAAAAAATTAAAGTAAGAATTCGGCGAGCTCGCCTCACCTCACCATGATTGACCCCTCACGCAAAGGCATAAATTTACAAATCTGCAAAATCCCAAATGTGACAAGTTCGATGTGACAACCAAAAATCGTATGCTATTTTCCTAGCGCAAGATGGGCAAGCTCTATGCGCGCTTTTATGACATATGGGCAAACTTCCTAGCTCCAACTAAATGCACAAGACTAAAAATTTTGAGGCAAATGAGAGCTTGAATGGTGAAATAAATGAAATTCCCTCCATTTACAAAAAGAAAATTTATACCCTATGGGGCATACAAGTGACATACAAACAAATTATGTCATTTTAAAAAATAGGAAAGAGCCTAACTCATTATACTCACAAGTAAATCTGCAACATGAGCAAAAGCCGACAAAATGTGCAAAATAATGAACTAAAAAAAGGCAAAGTCACATAAACTATGGGTATCGATATTCGACACGACACGAAAACCTGACTCGAACCAGACCCGAAATTTCAGAGTCCAGGTGATGAGAACATCCATCGGAAATTTCAACGTACTTACCATCGATGGGATCGTAAATCGACGGCTAGGATTCATAGTCTCTATTTATGATGTTTTAGTGCATTACTTTTATTTATTTTTCAGTTTTCCATTTGTAAACTATGAGGGATTTATATCATGTTGTAGCCTGAGGACATTTGTCTCTTTTACATTTTGTGCTTTGGAGGCCTAAATATGAAGGCCTAGTCTTTGTATTATTTTCTAATAATGCTTATGAATGAAGCTTTCTTGCTTGATCTCTTTGTGAGTTCTTGAGAGGAGAAACCCTAGGTGGGTGAAAGCAATACCCGTCAACCTTTGGAGGTGATGCGGACATCCAACCGTCCATGGCTATCCGAGGAGCTGAAGATCAATGGCTGTCATCGTCCCACGTTATCTTAGATTTTATTTGTAATTTTTATTATAAATTTTCCGTTTTTACCCTCACTTAAGAGGGTCGTCCTATGTAAGCCTTAGGGGCATATGTGTCTTGTTTTAGTTTCTTAGGCCTATATATAGAGGCACTTTCTTGTGTAATGGGATGATGAATTGTTAATGAAATTTTATTCTACTTGTTTGATCTCTTAGTGAGTTCATGAGAGGAGAATGATCTCTTTGTGCGTTCCGAGATTCTCAAGATCTCTTTGTGAGTTCTTGAGAAAGTGGCACTTGTAGATCTCTTTGTGAGTTCTATTGGAGGTGTTGTTCGAGGTGTGTAGCTCCGGGATTTATTTTTCCTAAACCAAATTTATTTCTTCTCTACCTAACCAAACTCTCTTCCTCCCAAATCCCCTCCACCGGCCCTCATAAGTCCACCACCGGCCACCCCAGGCCAATCCCGCCATAGTAGGCTCTACCGGCCTCCTTGGGACGCCAAGCCACCGGCCTCCCTCTTGGGAATTTCAAATTTGAAATTCAAATTTGTTTCCAAGCGACATTGAAGACTTTCCTAAAATAGTTCCTTGATTTAAGGCTTTCATATTATTTGGATGTCAATTTGAATTTGAAATTCAAATTAATTCTAATCGATAGCCCCATTATTGGAAACTTTCCTTTCTTTCAAAATCTGAATTTTAATTCAGATTTTATTAAATCTTTGATTAGTAATGTAAGCCCCACTCTACTTATGACAAATAATCTCCTCCCTCTCTCTATGTAGCCGGTCCCCTCATTGGGCATAATCTCTCTCCTATCTCATTAATAGCCCCCTCATTAAGCCTCCCTAATTACCTCCCACAATTCCCTCTCGTCCAATTTAATTCTCCCCATTAAAATTGAATTTAAATTCAAATTCATCCCGCCAATTCCACTTAATCTGAAATTTAATTTCAGATTTTCATTCTATCTCCCAAAATTGATTTGGGATTTAATTAATCTTGCCACCTAAACAAGTAAATGGCATTTACATTTACATCAAGAGGATTCCAAGGTTCGCGACTTCAATCTTTCTTTTCTTTTCTTTTCTTTCTTTTTTCTCTACTCCCACCACCCCTCCTAGCCCCTACCCGCCGGGCCTCCCAAAGCCACATCCCCTTTTCCCTCTTCCCAAAACCGAACCCCCCACCAACCCACCTCACCTTGTGTCGCCAGCCTCCCCTCCCTGTCCACCACCAAACCCTAGCAAACCCCCTCACCGCCAGCCTCCCTAGCTCCACAAGCCGCCGGCCCTCATTCCACTCCCTAGGGATTTTGAAATTCAAATTTCAAAATCACTCATAATCACTTTCTTAAATTACATCCCTATAAATTTGGAAAGTTACCACATTTAGATTCAAATTCAAATTTGAATTTTAAAGTTTTCCCTATTAATAGCGTATATTAGGAAACCTCCTAAACACATTAAAATATGAAATCAATTTCAGATTTAATGGCAATCTCCAATTAAACCTTCCCGGGCCCACATGTTTAATGAAATTAAATCCCCCCTAGCTCTATATGGCAGGCAACCTCAATTGGATCCCCTCTCTCCACTAATTAATTCAAAGTCTCCATTTAAAGCTCCCTAATTCCCTCTCCCATATTCTCTTCCCTCCCATGCATGTCGCCGGCCCCCCTTTAGCCTAAAACAAAATTTGAATTCGAATTATTCCCTCCCATCCATTATTTCCTTTTAATTAATTACCCTCTTTGGATAATTAATTCCAAAGGAGAAACTAAAAACTCAAACCCCCTCCACTATAGATGTCCCCTCCCTCATCCTACCTAGCCCAAACCGCCGCCCCTCCTCTCCTGACCACCAAACACCGGACCTTCCCCCCTCCAAGGCACACACAAAGAGTCCTTCCATGTCCGTGTATGGCGGATCCGGAAGTTGATCACGAATTCATTTACAATTCTCAAGAGGAAATTGACATCATTCAATCACCTTTCTTCGGTCCCGGATTTGGATCCGAAGGCACCTTCGAAGAATACGTGGAGCGTATTCTCTTCACTTTGGCGGACCTCATCGAAGAGCAAAAAACCACAAGATCATGGAAGATTGCAGGACAACCACCCGTCTCTCCAACTCCGTCCAACTCTCAGTTGATCAAGACCGCCGGCATCCTCTATCTTTCAGTGGTGTCACTGGGTTTGCTAACCTTCATCCTCTGCTAACCCTACTATTAAGGAGCGATCGAGAGAAAAACTCGAAGGTGAAAGTTCTATTTGTTAAGTGTCGGATTATTGTTAACTGCATATTTGTCTTGCTATCGTCTTGTTATAATCTTGAATCGCTTTGTAAATCTACCGTGTAACTGCATGCTAGAAGCAAGTCAATAACTATGAAATCTAAAAATCTTAACTTAGTGAAACATTAATCTTATAAACTCATTGCTAAAACAAATTTCTTTATAATCTCTAATGCAATTATGATTATGTTTCACATTACTAGGTCACCCCATTTGGAAAATGGGTCAGGTTCAAGTTAACCCGAAAGCAACCTGAAATCAACTCGAAACTCATATGTCGCTCACGCTCATATGTGGGTCACACTCGTCCTGCTCACCCACTAGCTACTCGAGCAGCTCAAGCTCATCTAATCATCATCGTGTTCGCTTGCCCGTTGGATCGTCTGCATTGGCTAACCCACTCAATCGCATGTGCGCTCAATCACCCGCTCCGCTCGCCCGCTCGATTGCCTGCACATTGCATTCGGTCACCCAGTCGCCCTCAACCGGGTTAGCAGGTCGAGTTGGGTCGATTCGGGTTAGCGGTGAATCGAGTACTGGTCTAGATTTCTGACTCGTTTATCTAATGGGATGGGTTCAAGTCAGGTCAATCAAAGGTAGGTAGGTAATTTTCGAGTTGGACTCGAACCCAACCCGAAAACCCATTTTGACACCCCTAAAATAAACATTTCAAAGTTAATACATTCACGTAAACAACTACTACACCAGACCTTTACACGTCTCAAACAGTTGTGTTCACATGATTAATAACAAAGTGGCCCAACTTGTTGCATGTCACCTGTTGCATAAATGCTTTACAAATGCCCCAAGAGATGCACACATTAAGGGACTCGTGCACGCCCCGTAATCCACCATCATGCTCCATGAATAACAATACACCCCATGACCGAAATATTTTCAAAATGAAATAAAGCAATAAACTATTATGAGTCATGAGTGGCAAGGTCGTTTCGATAAAGTGTGCAATACACATTAAATAACAAGAAACAATTTTGACTACGTG